AAACCATCCCCGGGTGATTTTGTTAGCCTCTGATGAAGGTCATAAACCTAGGGACTTGTTTTTCACTGTTCTTTTTTATTTCCCTGGGGGTAGTAGTTCTCTTTAAGATTTCTATACCTAGTAATTAATTACACAAGGAACCAGATTAAACTGCAATCTGAAAGTCTCAGGCTTGGCATGACATTTCAGCATCTTAATGAACATTTCAGGGCAGGTGATCTGTGCAGAACACTTTGAAAAACAACATGTTGGGTATTGCTTTCAAAAAGTGATTTGATAAAATCATCTATCAGGCTGACAAAGTAATCTGATATGATAAATCTCTGAAAAGCCTGTTAAAAATTATTTTTCCACTACCTCGAGTGATGCCTAAAATTCCATTACTAGATTTCCAAGGGTTTTTTACCTTCAAAGGTAACAGTTTAAACAGATTCTGAAACCATTATTGACAGGGAATGCACTCAAGCAGAGCTTTTTCAGAAAGTATATTTAGATCATCCTACATATTAGACTTCTCATGCCAAGTTTATAAACTTATGTGTAATTTTTTGCTTTTTTGACTAAAGTGCATTTGAATTCGCTGCTCTCTTGCATAACTTAATAAAATTCATGTTTGGGCTGAGTGACATTTTTAAGATTTTTACCAGAACTCTAGTATTTTCACATTAAGAACAAGGTTCTTTAAGGCATTCTCTAGTTGGATTATAGCAGATCCCTGTCAGATTGGGTTAAGTATTTGACCCATAATTGATCAGTGCTATGTAACATGTGATTCTATTATATGATGTAAAATAAAGAGGAAAGTCAACCATGTTTCTAGGAATCAGGGTCTTGATTTGGGTCTTGATTACACAGTGTATTTGGTTTGTGAAAATACGTTGTGCGGGCCAGCATGTGACATGGTGGTTAAGAGCACTGGACTCCCACATGGCCAACTGCAGTTCAAGTCTCTGACTGGTGACTTGTTTTCTCACTTTCCCTCTATCTCTGTCTCTGATCAAACTGGAAAATAATAATAATAATAAAGTTAAATAAAATATTAACTTTATTACTTTATTTACATTGTGCTACATGCTTGTGACGATGTGTGTTTTTATACTTGTATAATATGAGGGGGCTTCAAAGAGTTCATGGAAATGTGTATTATGATAAAATTATGCATGATTTCAGAAAATTCTGACACCAAAATAAACTCATACTTTAATTCATTTTTCCATGAACCTTTTGAAATCTTTGTATATCAGTGAAAAGTTATCCCAAAAGCAGACTAACATTTAGTTATTTAGGTCTACTTTTTAAGTTTTTGCTGTAGAGCATGTTCGCTTGCCAGAAAGACAGTGAGAGAAAGCAAGATATCACTGCCCCCCGCACACATACACACACACACACACACTCACCACCACCACCCTTCTCCATTCTACTCTCTGCATTTTGGGCCTGCAAGCACATGTTCCCAGTGTGGTTTCCAAGCCACCAGGTCCAGGGCTCCAAACTGCACAGTTAGCCATGTGGAATCCAGTCACCTTAACAGAGATGCTCCACCTGCTGCTCCACTAATTTACATTTTTTAATGGATTGCTTTTTATTTATTTTGAAAGAATTACTTATTATTATCATTATTATTATTATTATTATTTAAATTTGCTGTAGAGCATGTGTGATCATGAGAGAGAGAAAGCTACCAGGTCCAGGACTCAAACCGTGGTCTGCCATGTGGTAGTCCAGCACCATAGCCACCATCCACCTACTGGCCCCAAATGGATCATTTAAAAAAAAAAAAACTTAGTTTTGCTGTTTGTATATTGAGACCTAGCTTATCTCTTTTCTTATTTTACATTGCATTTTTGTTTTTTTGAAATAAAACAATGTTCTTTAGAGATACCTCAAGTCAAATATTGATGTCATTGTCCTTGTCACTTAGTAAATATTTTATCAGGCCAGCCCCATAGTGCAGCAGTTAAGTGCTGAGCATACAGAGCCAGATCCCACATGACTGACCATTGTTTGCATCCCAGTGCTTGTGCCTTGAAAAACACACTGGGCATGTGTGCATATATGCCCAAAATATCAACAGGATGGAGAAATAGAAGTAAAAGGATTGCAGCATGATTATACCCCATTCAGAACTGCTTTTTCACTCTCCTCTGGTAAGCACACACACCTTATGGCAATTTAAAAAAAATACCAAATTTGATACAGCCTATTTTTATCTATTGAGAATAGTCCATTTTGTTAGTGTCTCAAGAGCTTAAGAAATATAGTATTCAGGGCCAGCAGGTGGCGTAGTTGTTTAAAGTGCTGAACTCCCACATGGTTGATCGCGGTTCAAGTTCTAGACCTAGCTTCTTGAAAATCACACAGGACATGTGTGCATGCATGCCCAAAATCCCAAGAGGAGAATGGAGTTGAGGGAATTATGGCCTGGCCATTACCCCTTGGGGAATGATTTCTCACTTTCCTTCTCTTTGTTTCTGTTTCTGTGTCTGTCCCTCTCCTTTGGTGAGCACACACACCCTATGGCAAAAAAAAAACTTAAAAAAAAAAAAAACCCAGGGAGATACTCTTCTTCACCTGGCTGTTGTTGGTGCTGCTAAAACACTGCATTCTATAGGCTGGGATCACATGGAATGCTCATGTTTGATTACCTGTCCAACCTGAAGATCAGGTATGGTGGTGCCAGTAGTCCAAGACTCTTAGAGGCTGAGGCAAGAGGATCACAAGCTTAAGCCTGGTCAGGGCAAGATAGTGGCCCCTTTATGGGGGAAAAAACCACCAGGTATGGTTAGCATATCCTATAGCCCCAGCTGGAAGGCTGAGTCAGGAGAATTTTGATATGGTCATACCTCGTCTTAAAAATGAATAAATAAAAAGATACTATCTTCTCTAAAAGGATTTTTTTGAAGCAAACTAGTATTATCTTTGTGATATACAGCCTCCATTGTGGTAAGAAAAGCTCAATAACATTTAGATAGAAATGGATTTAGGATTCTTAGGCTATTAATCCATTACTCAGTTTATTAAGCCCAGACTTGAATTTAACCTTTGTGGGGCAGGAAAGCTTATGGCATGTAGGTATCAGATTTTATTAAAGCAAGACCAGCAGATAAAGTAATGGTTACGTTGTCGGACTCCAACATAGTCGACTGCTATTCGAGTCCTTGGACCCAGTGACATAAAAGTCAAGCCAGGCACATGTGTGTGCATACCCAAAATCCCAGGAGGAGAAGGGATTGTGGCATGGCCATCCTCCCTGGGGGATGATTTCTCACTTTCTGTCTGTCTCTCATTGGCAAGTACACATGCCCTATAGCAAAAACACTCTCTTAAAAAAAGAAAAGAAAAGTTAGATTTTATTAGATTAAGGTTTTGTTTGTTTGTTCTGTTTTGTTTTTGTTTTGTTTTGTTTTGTTTACAGACCAAGGAAATGCCACATGCCACTTACCCAGGTTAGGTAAAAATTAGATATGGAATAGTTAAAGAGAATATTAGTTCCTTTATAAAGTCTTAGAAGTAAGATTACTTTGCTATATTTTGCAGAAATTTATTGGAGGAAATGGAATAGGAAATAGCTTCCTATAAAGTCATGTGAGCTCTTACCTACTGTTAATGTTAAATAACATAGTACAGTTTTTTGATTTATTCTAATAGAAACACTGTTAAAGCAAAAATTGTAACTTGTATCATTAATGTTTTAAAGCTCACATAGTACACATTATAGGACTTTATTTTAAACTTGATTTGAATGATTTTAGCAGTATGGGGTATGTTGCTTTCATGAACCTACACATATCCCTTTAGAAGAAACACTTGAGAGAGATTAAGACACACTTGCACTAACAGTAGAGTCGAGGGATTGACAGCCCCAAGGAAATGAACACTCACCTGCTTAAATGGTGTCATTTAATGGTGAGGTTTAATTTTGCTGTTTTTTTCTCCTTTTCATGATAGAACTCACATGTACACGTATGAAAGTAAGAGAGAGAGAAAGGGAGAGAGATGGTACTTTTCACAGGGTCTGGTCATACAGCGATCCCCATCCTCCAGTCCTCTAGCCCATCAGATTTTGGCCACTCACGCATATGCCTGGCATGTTTTCAGGCTCACTAGGCTGGATTTGATCTGAGGTTTCTGCGTGAGATCTGGCTTCTCTTTAGCTGTGTATTACCACTGTGCCGCAGAGCCAGGTGTTGTGGTGAGGCTTAAAGTCTACCTTTTCTGGTAGCATTGGTTTAGAAATGGCATACTTTGGCCCAGCTACATTAACTCATGCTGGTAGACACTGCTGGGCACGATAAGGCCAAATAAGAGGTTGGGGTTAAATTCTTGGCCCACCCTAAAAGCTAGAATGGTGACACATACTTGTCATGGTGACAGTTACTTGGGAGGTTGAGGAAGCAGCAAGATCCCATCTTTTAAAAAAAGGGTGGGGGGAGATTGCATATCGTACTGTAGTCATTGTTTTTATATGTCAGGACTTTTTAAATTACATTTCTGCTTCTCTCAAGCATTTGAGACACCTTTGCAACTCATCTTATTAGCTGCTAACAGTGAAGCGATTTGGATACTTTTGTACATGTTTACAGTCAGCCAAGAGACTACAAGTGATGAGCCTTGAAACTGCCCCGAACATTACTTAATTGAATACTTTTTTTTTTCTCTTTTCTTTCTTTTGCTCACCAGAGAGAGAGAGGAGAGAGAGAGAAAGTGAGAAATCAGCCCCCTGGAAGGATAGCCATGCTGCGATCCCTTCTCGGTTCTCTTCCTGGGATTTTGGCCATGTATACACACATACACCTGGCATGATTTTCACACTGTCAGGTCTGGGACTCAAAACGTTGGTTGACCATGTGGGAGTCCAGCTCCTTAAACACTACACCATCTACTGTCCCCTGAACACTTCTTTCAACTTAACATTATTTGCATTAATGGAAAATTGTAACATTTACATTGTTGCCATTGTATTATTATTGTTTTTATTTTTAACCTTTTTTGTCTTTTAGATCCATGTAAAAGCTCATTTTGATTATGACCCATCAGATGACCCTTATGTTCCTTGTCGAGAATTAGGTCTGTCTTTTCAAAAGGGGGATATACTTCATGTGATCAGCCAAGAAGATCCAAACTGGTGGCAGGCCTACAGGGAAGGAGATGAAGATAATCAGCCTCTGGCTGGGCTTGTTCCAGGTAAGAGACAAAACAGTAGAAAGTACTTAATATTAAAAGAAAACTCAAGAGCGAGCCCTGTTGCACAGTGCTTAAGCCATATTCATTGGGAGCCAGATCCTATGTGGCTGACTATGGCTTGAAAAACATGCCAGGCAGTTGTGCTTGTGTGCCCAAAATCCTGACAGGAGCAGACAGGAAAAAAAAGAATTGCAGCGTGACCTCTTTGCCCCACTGGGGAGGTGTCTCTCTCTCTCTCTCTCTCTCTCTCTCTGGCAAGCACATGCACTCTCTGGTAATTTGAAAAAACTTATGCAAATGCAAGTGTTCACAGAGAAAATGTCCTTTTTCATAACTTTAAAATTTTTTGCAGTTACTTTTTCATGTAGTTGATTTTTTAATATATATTCTCATAGCATAAGTATCTTAAATAGAAATGTGGCCAATTTGTTGGGCTTTCAAATGGAATTATGATATAACCTCATCAACCAGTTCCATGCTGTGCTACATTCCCCGTAGACACTGATATTTCCCTGTTATGGGACCAATAGATGGCATAATGGCTATGTTGCTGGACTCCCATGTAGTTGACCACAGTTCAAGTCCCAGACCCAGTGGCTTGAACTCATACCAGGCACATGTGCATGCATGCCCAACATCCCGAGAGGAGAAGGGATTGCAGAGTGGCTATCTTCCCTGTGGGGTGATTTCTCACTTTTTATCTTTCTGGCAAGCGCATGCGCCCTATAGCAAAAACCTCTCAAAAAAAAAAAAAAAAAAAAAACAACTTCCCTGTTATCAAGGCAATAACATTTTTATTGAACTCTTATACTAAAATAAGATCGTCATTTCAGCATCAAGCTTAATTTCTTTTTTTCTCTAAATGATTTTTTTAATTAATTAATTTATTTTTATATACATTCAGTGACATTGTTTAGCTTATGAAGTGAACATTTCAATATGTGAACATTTCTCCCCAGTCCAGTTGATCAAAATACCTTCAGCAGATTATACCACACCTCCCCGCCCCGTCAATGCTCTGCCTCTGTATCCCTCCTCCAGCTTAATTTCTAAGAATGATAAGATGCTTCGCTTAGAGGGCATAAAACTTTTTGTTTTTCTTATATAAGCACCGCTGAATTTATTATACTTAAGGTGCACTTAGGGCAGAAATGGGGCACCCCCAACATTTTTTTTAAGGTTTTTGCCATTGATCATGTATGCTCATCAAAGTGAAACAGAGGAAAAGTAAAAAATCAGCCCTCCAGGGAGGAATGTCCATACTGCAATCCCTTCTCCATTCTCCTCTTGGGATTTTGGGCACATACACATTACACCTGGTGTGATTTTCAAGCTACCAGGTCCAGGACTGGAACCATGGTTGGCCATGTGAGAATCCAGCACCTTAACCACTACTCCACCTGATGACCCCATCTCAAACTTTTTTTATTAAAACTATCCCTAATTTAGGCTAAACTGAAACCTTAGTTCATGTAGATATTAAGCTTAAGAGAACATGTTTCTCACCAAGAGCTAAGATGATACATGATAGAACAATCTATATAGAGACATATACGTTTTCTTAAGTTCTCAGGTAGGGGGTAGAGTGGAGTGAGGGAAGCAGAACTGAGAGAAATATAGTAAACTAGCAGAGAAGGCAAAGGAATATGATAAAATGGGGATAAGGATAATAGTGTATCTGATTATTTGTTCAATATTATTATATACACATTCAAAAGGTGCTGTACTTAGGAAAGAGATTGTGGCATGATCACACCACAGTGTGGGGTGCTCTTTTCTTTCCCTTTGTCTCTGTCTCTTTGCCTGTCTAGTAAGTACATGCTCCCTTTGGCAATAAAAAATAATTATAACAAGAGAATAATTTTGTTTGTTTTTTGAGAGGTTTTTGCTATAGGGCATGTGCGCTTACCAGAAAGAGAGAGATAGAAAGCGAGAAATCACCCTCAAGGGGGAATGGCCACACCGCATCCCCTCTCCTCTCGGGATCTTGGGCATGTATGCACACACTCCTGGCATGAGTTTAAGCCACTGGGTCAGGGACTCAAACCACGGTCAACTACTTGGAGTCTAGTGACATAACCATTATGCCAGCTGCTGGTCCCAACAAGAGAATAAATTTTAATACCCTTAAAATTTTTCCTCTAGTCCTCGTTACTTGTTCTACTACAAATGCAGCCTTCAAAGCTCCTAAAGATAACCAGGTTTCCTTTAATGATTCTTAAGAATATCATACTTGATACTGATGTTGTTGCATATGCTCTTAAGAAATACACTAAATTATATAGCTTATATATATGTTGGGCACAAATACCCAACATAAATAGAATTTATTTATTGATTTTTTAAAAAAATCTCTGACTTGGGCTGGCCCCATAGTCTACTGAGTTAAGAGAACTAGCTTCCACGTGACCTACCACAGTTCAAATCTTGACTCCAGTGGCTTGAGAAACATGCCAGGTACATGTGCATGCCCCAAATCCCAACAGAATGGAGAAATGGAAGAAAAAGCATTATGGCATGGCCATATCCCATTGGGAGTGCTTTTTTCCTCTTTGTCTCTCTCTTTGATTCTCTGGCAAGCACACATGCCCTCTGGCAGTTAAAAAAAAAAATTCCATGGCTTAAAAGTGAAAGTTAGATACAAAAATTAAGTATAAAAGTAGAACTCTAATGTAATCCAGAATTTTCTAAGTAAAACTTCTTATATACTTCAGGAAAAGATAAATTTAATTTTTTTTTTCTTTTTGGAGAAGTTTTTGCTATAGGGCACGTGCGCTCGCCAGACAAACAGAGACAGAGAGACAGAAAGCAAGAAATCACCCCCAGGGGGGATGGCCACACCGCAATCCCTTCTCCTCCATTCTCCTCTTAGGATCTTGGGCACACACGCACATGCGCCCAACGTGAGTTTAAGCCACCGGGTCCGAGACTCCAACCGCAGTCGACTACATGGGAGTCCAGCGACATAGCCATTACGCTAACTGCTGGTCCCAAGATACATTTAATTTTAAGGTAGAGGTCTGAAAAGGAGATGCAGTTCAGAACCCTTAAAATCTCCTGTATTAAAATTTTACCCTGAGGAAAACATGTTTTTCATTTATTTGTGTCATTGGCAATTTAAGAGTGAAAGTAAAAAAATTGTCAACACATGTATATACATACAAACTAAGAGAGATTAAGAATGATAAATGTGAGGGAATACCTTGAATGGTGTACTGAAATTGAAAAGTGATAAATGCCCCCATTTCATATAATTTTGGAAAGTTAATTCTTAAAATTGATATGCTTGATTTGAGATAATTCCAAATGACCAGAGCCACTGTAAAATCTGGGATAGTACTTTATGCACTAAAAAAATGTTCAATTAAATCTCATTTAAGGGAGAAATGTTCACCTGTTGAAATAATTCACTTTGTAAGCTAAATAATGTAATTGAATGTATAAAAGAAAATGAAATTTTAAAAATGGGAAAAAATGTTGAACTATTAAATTTTCTGTTGGTTTGTTATTTATCCTTTTTCTAAATTTCAGAGGGCACATGCACTCTTAAGGTGTAGAGGAAGCAACCCCCAAAGGAATATGGTCACACCACAGTCCTTCTCCATTTCTTCATTCTGCAGGGATTCAGGACACACACACTGATGTGTGGTCTTCAAGCCACTCGGGCCTGGATTTGAACTGCAATTGGCTACTGTACTATGGGGCCAGCCCTGTGTTTTCTAATAGATGAAATATATCCCAGTAATACATATGATAGGATTGGTCAAGTGGGGTTGAAATATATTACTTTAAACATATTTGGAAGCTTATATATCATAGTTAATATTACTCTCATGTGCTAGCATAACGATTTGGTAGGAGGTATTAGTGAATTATTTCTAGTGTTTTCCTTTGGATTGAAAAAAAACCTTTTGAAGGACCAGCAGTTGGCATAATGGCTATGTCACTGGACTCCCATGTAGTGAAACACAGTTTGAGTCCCGGACCCAGTGGCTTAAACTCAGGCTGGGCGTGTGTGTCCAAGATCCCGAGAGGAGAATGGAAGAGAAAGGATTGCGGCGTGGCCGTCCCCCCTGAGGGGTGATTTCTCACTTTCTGTCTTTCTGACGAGCGCACATGTCCTATAGCATAAACCTCTCCCAAAAAGGAAAAAAAAATCTTTTATCTTTTTATCTTAAATATTTTATACTTCTTGTTCTTTCTTGCTTGTTCTTAAGGGAAAAGCTTTCAACAACAAAGGGAAGCCATGAAGCAAACCATAGAAGAAGATAAAGAACCAGAAAAATCAGGTAGACACTTAAATTTGCGATTAAGAGGAGGTTTTTGGGGTGTTTCTCTAGAACTGTGTAAATTTGCAAATCGATTAGAAGTGTCAAAGATATATCCATGGAATATGCAATGTAGGAGACAAAACTGATTATCTTTGAACTATAAAGAGAGGATAAGATTATCTGTTCATAATATGTAATTAATGGGAAATCATAAATACTTTTCTAAAAATAGTTCTTCTATGAACAGTATAAGTATTGATAAATTTAAATCAAAACCTATTTGAATCCTTAAATTTGAAATTTGTAGTTTTGTTCAAGGAATACCACAAATACCACATGTTATAGTTACTTTTATGATTGTTCAACAGGGAAACTATGGTGTGCAAAGAAGAATAAAAAGAAAAGGAAAAAGGTTTTATACAATGCCAATAAAAATGATGGTAAGTTCTACTCAGTAGAGCTGGAATCTTGAAAGGTCTAAATCTGATACTTGAAAAAAACTAATATTTCAGGGAATTTTTTATTTCTTGTCATGTTTTGTTCTTTAACATGTCCTTGTTTGGCATCCTATGACTAATGCAGTGTTTTGAATTCTGGGACAACCTGGTATAAAAACTAAAGTAGTCTTTAGCATAATTAGTGTTGAATTGATTCTTTTTTTTTTTAATTTAAATTCTGTGCAAAATTAATACTTGCTCTTAATAAAATATTAGAAAATAGATGTGTTTGAAGCAAACAAAAAAATCTAATATTCTGTTTATAATAGCTTACGTCACAGAGGCAAATCATTCCACAGAGTCCACTACCTACTGGCTAAGTCAGGCATGCAGAGTGTTTTTTGTTTTATTCTGATTGATTGCTAAGATGAAAAAGAATTAAAGTTTAGCTTCTCTTAAAGTCAAGAGTTCTCATAACACTGGGCTTGTATCATCAGGTGACAGTAGTGTGCTATACCTGAGTGATGGCTGTTGCTCTGATACTGGGTACCTGCTATCTAGTCAACAATCTCCACCATTCATTTTCTCATAAACCCAACCTGATTTACTGATTTCATTATTACCTGCTTGGTTGGTCCTCATGGGCATTAGAATTTACCACCCCTGCTTTCAGTCATGTTAGAAACAAATCAAATAATACAGCAATGACATTCCTTAGTTTCCTATATGATTTATAGGCTTATTCTGTCTAGAACTTGAAATATTTTGGAACAATTTAATTAATGAAGATAAAATGTTATAGGTTATTGAAATATTCCACATAAAGCTGAATCTGAGATTGATCACCTTCAGTAAAAAATTTTAAAAAATAAGTATCTTTTCTTTTCTTTTTTTTTTTTTTTGGAGAGGGTTTTGCTATAGGGTACATGTACTTACCAGAAAGACAGACAGAGACAGAGCGACAGAAAGCAAGAAATCACCTCCTAGGGGGTATGGCCATGCCGCAATCCCTTTTCAGGATCTTGGGCAAACATGGACACACCCGGCATGAGTTCAAACCACCAGGTCCAGGAATCAAACTGTAGCCGACTACATGGGAGTCCAATGACGTAGCCATTACACCATCTGCTGGTCCCATAAATATCCTTTTATTCTAATTGACCAGTTCTGTAACTAAGATTTATTGAGTTTTTTATTTTCTCTTCTGTACTTATGGTTAATATCCATTTTGTTTTTTGAAACAGACTAAACAAAGTGGTCCAACTCTAACAGCAACTACACTATAAAAAACTTGGCAACTCTGAAGCCCATAGTTGAATAAACTAAGACTGTAATCAAAACGCTGTCACAATCTGATTGTACATGTTGGAAGGAACTCAGATTTTTCAGGGACCAGCAGTTAGCGTAATGGCTGTGTCACGGGACTCCCATGTAGTCGACCACACTTTGCGTCCTGGACTTGGTGGCTTAAAACTCACACCGGGTGCGTGTGCATGCCCAAGATCCCGAGAGGAGAATGGAGGAGAAGGGATTGCGGCGTGGCCATCGCCCCTGGCGGGGTGATTTCTCACTTTCTGTTCCTCTGGCTGGCTGGCGAGTGCACTCACCCTATAGCAAAAACCTCTCCCAAAAAAATATAACTCTGATTTTTCAGAGAAAAACATTTTTTAAAAGATTTATTTATTTAAATTTTTATTATTATGTTTAATTTTTGCTGTAGGGCACATGTGCTCACTGACAAGGGGGAGTGAGAAAGCAAGCCTCCAGGTCCAGGACTTGAGCCATGGTCAGCCATGTGGGAGTCCAGCACCTTAACCACCACACCACTTGCTGGCTCCAGAGAAAAGCATTTTTGAAAAAGGAAGAAATTAATTTGTTGTTCATAATGATGTCATAGTCATTAGTCTTTCTAAACAAATCACTACCATTTATAATAACTACCCTGTCTGTGGTAGTAACTATATGCTTTAGTTCTCACAATGAAGTCCTTGAGGCTACGGATTAATAGATTCAAGTTCAGATATTAAAGTGATCGGTGCACTGGAATTTAAACAAATACAGTTTGAGTTCTTACTCTGTGCCAGGCTCCTCTCTGAACACTGGCAAGACTAAGTTGATTCTCTGACCTTTGAACTTAACAGCTGAGAGAGTCTGACTGCACATCTGATGTTCCTTCCCAGTCAGGTCAAGTAATATGAGTGAGGACATGGCAGGCTGCTAGCTGTCTTTGTTCTTCCTACTTGACAGCTCTGGTCTTATCTTGATTATGGACTTTAAGGAATGTTACCCCACCCATCATAATTTATTACCTCAACCTGAGTCATGACTCTGAGCTAGTATTCCAGAATAAAGTAAACATAAATGCAGAAACTATGGATAGTACAGGTATAACCTGTTTTCAGATTACATAACTACAGGAAAATATTCCAGCTTTCTCTGATAACACTAGTTACAGTCAGTATATGTAAATGTGCCAACTATTGTGCTAAGCATACACATTGTATCTGATCTTTAAAACAACCTTTTAAAGTTTAGAGTATTAGTATCTACATTTTACAAAGATGAAATACTCTTCTCATTAGCTTATGCCCTGGGACCCTACCCTTTGTCAAAGTACTGACTGCAAACTAGTTATTTTATGTGAATATCAGTATAATTATGTTCAAAAACAGTATGAAACAAGCAATAAAAAATTCTAGAAGGACTAGTATATTATTATCTGATTCATTTTCATAGTATCTGGGCAAGGATAAAATGAGATGGGGAAAGGCTCATGATACAGTAATAACCATTTATTACTATTATCCCAAAAGTTAATTTTTAATGACAGATTTTGTTTCTTTCCAGTTTGGGGGAAGATCCATGAACGTTTTTATCTTTAATACATGGCAATAATTCTGTCTAAAGAGCTTAACTTTTTCTTTTCCAAAGATTATGACAATGAGGAGATCTTAACTTATGAGGAAATGTCGCTTTATCATCAGCCAGCAAATAGGAAAAGACCTATCATCTTGATTGGTCCACAGAACTGTGGACAGAATGAATTGCGCCAGAGGCTCATGAACAAAGAAAAGGACCGCTTTGCATCTGCAGTTCCTCGTAAGTCGGGATGCATTCTTATTTTCCTCTTTTTCTGTTACCACTTAAAATCTAATTCAGCAGGGACAGTTTTGGTTCATTTCATCGAAATAATGTTGCCAGTAAGAGAACTTTGTTGAACCAGATTTTTTGGCAATATGTTCATCTGTGTTACAAAGTTAAAATTCTTTGACTAACGGAATTATTCCTCATACTTACTCATCCATGGCAATTTTTTTTTTCTGGTTTTGTTTACCTAGATACAACTCGGAGTAGGCGAGACCACGAAGTTGCTGGTAGAGATTACCACTTTGTTTCTCGACAAGCATTTGAGGCAGATGTAGCAGCGGGAAAGTTCATTGAACATGGTGAATTTGAGAAAAATTTATATGGAACTAGTATAGATTCTGTCCGGCAAGTGATCAACTCTGGCAAAATATGTCTTTTAAGTCTTCGTACACAGGTAATTTAAAACTACAATTTTGATGTAGTGTGTTAAAGTGCACTTTTTTTTAAATTTCAAGTTCTTATATATATTCAATCACGTTATTTAGCTTGCAAAGTAAATATTCCAACATGTGTACATTTCTCCCCAGTCCAGTTGATAATACTATAAAGTTATCTTCAATAAATAATACCCCATTTCTTTGTCCCATTAATGCTATGCCTCTCTATTTTTCTCCTTACTGTCCTTCCTCAGACTCCTTCACCCACCCTCTTCCCACACTATATCTGGTATTCACAACCATTTACTGTGTTTCTATATCCTTTAGTCATTCAGTTCCTGTCATAGAGTGCAGATATTTGGTATATATTAAGTGAAGACATACAGTGTCTCTCCTTCATAGCCTGGCTGGCTTCACTCAGCAGTAAATCTTCCATATTCATTCACTTTCTGTCAAAAGCCAGGGTTGTCTTGTTTTTTATGGCTGAGTAGTATCCCATAGAGTATATGTGCCACAGTTTATCAATCCATTCATCTGTTCGTGGGCATTTGAGTTGGTTCTATGTCTTAGCATAAAGTGCATGTTTTACAGAGTCATCTAGTGGAAACTGTATTTTGATTCAAGAATGACAGAATCTAATGAATTATCATACAGTTTTTCCTACAAATTCGCTAAATCAGACAAGTTGCTAAGTCTCTTGCGTACAAGTTCTGTAGCAAGTTAAAATAATAGTAAATAAAATCTTTTTTTTTTTTTATTGAGAGGTTTTTGCTATAGGGTGTGTGCGCTCGCCAGAAAGAGAGAGACAGAGAAATCAACCCCTCATGGGGGGATGGCCACGCCACAATCCCTTCTCCTCTATTCTCCTTTCAGGATTCTGGGCATGCATGCACATGTGCCCGGCGTGAGTTTAAGCCACCAAGTCCAGGACTTGAACCAGGACTACATGGAGTCCAGCAACATAGCCACTGTATCAACTGCTGGTCCCAAATCTTACTTTTTTTTTTTTTTTTTAAGAGAGATTCTTCCTATAGGATGTGTGCACTCACCAGAGAGACAGAAAGCAAGAAATCACCACCCAGAAGGGAGGCCGCCACCTCAGTCCCTTCTCTTGGGATTTTGGACACGCACGCATATGTCCCCTGTGTGATTTTCAAGTTACCAGTCTGGAACTGGAACCACATGGTCAGCCATGTCGGTTCTAGGCACCTTAATATCCATGCTATCTGCTAGCCCCCTCCTAGAATTTTTTTATATTTGGGCTAGCAGGTACTAAAGTACTCATGTATTGAGCATATTGTTTTTATTTTCTTTATTCACAATAGAGCATAAGCACATGCACATGCACATGAAAGAGAGATGGAGAAAGGGTCACACACCCTCCACAAGGTCTGGTCATGCTCTGATCCCCTTCCCCCTGTGCTCCATCCCTTAGATCTGGGCACTCGCTCATGTACCCAGTGTTTTTCAGGCTTTCTAGGCTGGGGTTCAAACTGTGGTTGCCATGTGGAATTTGGCTCTTCTTGAGTAGCACTTTACTACTGTACACAGCATATCGTTTTAATTATTTTAACATTTTTAGTTATAAAATGGGACATCCCGATAATCTCAATTTAGTAGAGAGCTTCAGTTTGAGAACACACAGCTATACAGTGGTAAAAACAAAGTGAAAACTGCCGACTCTTAATTTCAAACAGTGTTTTTTATCTTTGGTGTCCCATTCCTCAATTTCCTTTTGCGTGTATATGTGAAGATTTTCTCTCTGATAATGCTTGTATTTAGTGCCTGGCACTTAGCAAGGCAAGTGCTCTGATTTTAATTCCTCCAAAATGGATTTTTTTCATATATTGTTATAATCTGTATGTGATCTTTTTTGCAAGGTATTTCAGCATTACAGTTGTCATCGTTCAATGTCATTCACTCATATTTCATTACATAAAAGAGTAAGATACCATTACATGTATTCATTTATACACACACACACTATATATATATATAGTGTGTGTGTGTATAAATATATATATATATATATATAGTGTGTGTGTATATATATATATATAGTGTGTGTGTATATATATTTTTTTTTCTCCTACAGTGAATGATATCTTGAGATATTATGAATTGTTTTGTTATGGAGAGGTTTGGAAACTCTCATAAGCTGTGTTTCTGTTTTGTTTTTGATTTTGCTATAGGGCACAGGCATTCGCCAGAGAGAGAGAAAGTAAGAAATCAATCCCCAAAGGGGATGGCCACGCCACTGTCTCTTCTCCTCCATTCTCCTCTTGGGATCTTGGGCACGCATGCCTGGCATGATTTTTCAAACTGCCAGGTCTAGGACTCAAACCGTGGAGAGTTGGCCATGTGAGATCTAGTGCCAGTAAGGCACTCCACGGCACCTGCTGGCCCAAGGCTGTGTTTTTTTAAAAATGACATTATTATATTCTAGGCATATTATTAGGAATTAGTTAAATGATGGAAATTATTTTAAAAATCCAAATATGTTTTCCTTGTAGTCATTGAAGGCTCTCCGGAATTCAGATTTGAAACCATATATTATCTTCATTGCACCCCCTTCACAAGAAAGACTTCGGGCATTATTAGCCAAAGAAGGCAAGAATCCAAAGGTAAAGTTGTTATACTTTTGTACTGTTGCATTGAAAATAAGCATGCAATAGTCCTGGTCTAATCTGTCATAGTTTTGTTTTGTTTTTGCTATAGGGTGTGTGCGCTCTCCAAACAGAGAGAGGCAGAAAGCAAGAAATCACCCCCCAGTGGGGATGGCCACGCCGCAATCCCTTCTCCTCCATTCTTCTCTCGGGATCTTGGGCACGCACGCACATGCGCCCGGCGTGAGTTCTAAGTCACTGGGTCCAGGACTCAAACCACAGTCAACTACATGGGAGTCCAGCGACATAGCCATTACGCTAACTGCCGGTCCCATCTGTCATGGTTCTTATAAGCTACATTAGCTTAAGCATTTAAACTGATTCCTCTTTTTTTTTTTTTTTAAGTTTGTTTATTTGTTCCACAAGGGGGAGAGAGAAAGTAAGGGAGAAAAGAGGGAGGATCCTCATGAGATCCTTACGCTGTGATCCACTTGCACCCTCAGCCAGCCATAATCATGAGCATGCCTGTGTGCCTGATATACACAGGGAGACCCCAGGACATGAACCCAGGACTTTCCCATATAACTTCAGCATCACAAAGCATTGCGTTACCACATTACCACAACTAGCCTCAAATTGAACATTATTTTTACAATGTCACTTGCCCAGGAATTGCAGGGGTTGCTATTCATTGGAGTATGGCGGCTCTCCAAAACGGGACTTTTTTC